CAAAATAGTTATTTATTATTGTTATTTTTAAAAATTTTATTTTTCAGAGATAACTGTAGTCATTGTAGATTTAAACGAACGAAATTTACAGCTTTATTAATTTAAAAAAGAAGAAAAATATTAGTAAGTAATATGCTGAACGAGAGTTTATTGAATGATAGTTTACTCTCTCAAACATTAAATACTGTTATAAAACTAGAAAATGGAGAAAATGAAGTATTAACTCCAAATATTACTGTGAAAAATTCACCAAATGAAAAAATTAATGTTAAAACAGAAATTAAAGTAGAAACTGAGCATGTTGATCTAAATGTGACAGCTAGTAAAGAAAATGTAATAAATCACAATAATAATAGTAATAATAAATTAACAAATGGGAGTCAAATTTCAGTTCGCAAACTAGAAGATTTATGTGAATTCTCCCCAAATGCTGTTAAAATAGAACATTTAGAAAATACAGAAAACATCAAAGTAGAAAATACAAATAGTTCACAAACTTCTAGTAATGTAAATATAGATTTGTATGAATGGTATTCAGGAAATATTAAAATTTCACAAGAAACACCTATTTCATGTAAAATAGAAAACTTCGATTTTAGTGATGATGGTACATCTAATAAGCAAAAAAGAAGAAGACTTCATACAGATACTGAAAATTATGATATATTATCTGATGTGATTAAAAATGAATTATCCAATACTGAATTATATGACATAGAAGTTACAGACATGCTACATGATATAGATTCTCTGATGGACTTTGAAGAAAGTAAAACATTTCCAAATTTTTTTTGTTCAACAGCTAATGATAGCATTGAAATTGACAATAATATAGAAATATCTCAGCTTTTAGAAGTTGATCCCCTTGCTATTACTGATTGTGATGAAGATAATACAATTGTTGAAGATCAAATAAATGAAAACAAAAGAACAAAACGGGTAAAGGTTGTATCTAAGCCAAAAAAATTGTCTGGAAATATAAAAAATAAGACTAAAGGTACAAAAATTACTATTGAAAAAACTGCTGATGTGGATTATGATCATATAAAAGAAATCTTAGGAACTTTGGACATTGACCTAGATATAAAAAAAGAAGAAGAGGTAAGAAAGGAAGTAATAGAAGAAGAGGAAAGAAAGGAAGTAATAGAAGAAGAGGAAAGAAAGGAAGTAATAGAAGAAGAGGTAAGAAAGGAAGTAATAGAAGAAAAGGTAAGAAAGGAAGCAATAGAAGAGGTAAGAAAGGAAGTAATAGAAGAAGAGGTAAGAAAGAAAGTAATAAAAGAAGAGGTAAGAAAGAAAGTAATAAAAAAAAAGGTAAGAAAGAAAGTAATAAAAAAAGAGGTAAGAAAGGAAGTAATAGAAGAAGTAAAAGAGGAAGTGAAAGAAAAAGAAGAAGAAATATCCAAAGATGCACTAAAGGTTATTATTTAAATCAACATACTTTATACTCTATATATATCAATTATCTTATTATTTTATTATTTTTCTAGAAATTATATAGTCTAAAAGTAAACATAATACACAAAGTACCACCACAACATGACATTGAAGGTGTATTAGGCACAAAGCCATTAACAAAAACGCAAAGAAAGCTATTTTTAAACTATGGACCATTAAAAGATGGTGTATTTACACCTAATGAGGATAAAATTATTAAAGAAAATTGGAAAACGTTTTGTGAAGTATGTCTAATTAATATCACATGTTTCTTTTTATTGATAATGTTTTTTAAATGCAGGTTCATGATTGGAATCCTAAATATGTGCAACCATTTCTTTGCATGACAATTAATGGTCAATTTTATATAAAAAGCTTAGAGCAGAGGAAAAAATTTGCTCAGTTTTTAGCAAATGGAATACCATGGAGATCACTGTATAGTGTATATCACAGATTTAAAAATTTGCATAGGAAATATGAAAAAAGTTTTCATAGGTACCATATAAAAAGTTAAAATATCCTTTATTTAGCTGCTGTATAACCTATATTCCAATTATATGACATATTTTTATTATATTTTTATAGATACACACCAGCTGAAGATCAAACAATTTTATCCTACATGAAAAAAGGTAGGAAGAAGAAGAAGCATACAAAATACGCGGATTTAAGTAAAATATTAGGTCGTACAAGCCACTCAATTTGGATGCGGTATCAATTGCTTCAAAAAATGCAGAAAGATGGTAAAAAAGAATGTGAGTTTTTTTGAATGTAGAAATGCAATTCTTGAAAGATATTCAATCTTGAACAACAAACACAATTTAATTTCATTCTATTGTAGCAATGTATGATGTTACATGGACATTGTCTTTAATTGGTACATTTATAAAAAATTTAATGAATATAACTTTATGTAACAATGTAAAGGATTTAAAAGATGCTATTATTCCAAAACCAGTCTGGCTGAAATTAGAAGAAAAGCTAGGCATAGGCTATAATCTATTGAAATTATTCTGGTGGAATCAGTTGCATGCACAATTATTTTCTACAGAACCTATTTACTTAAATGACATAAAAATAAAGTTAATCGAATAGTAAGTTATTAGATTTTATTAATTGTTTAAAAATTTATTGAGACAAATTTACTTTAAGTAAAAAGTTGAATATAATTTTAACATTAATTATCATTCTCCGACAATAAATATAACAATTCTGCTATATTATAAAATTATATTATAGCGTTTACGGAAAAGGAATTTCGAATACCCGAGAAATAGTCTGGCAGGATGTTGCAAAATATTTTGATGGAATTACTAGTATCTTTTTGTGTAAAGTATTTTATTATCTTGTACATAAAGCGGCTGTAAAAATAAGTACAACAGATTTTCCTGGTGAGTTTATAAAAATAAGTAAAATACAAACATTAAAGTTTTTTGTTATATAACAATAATTTTAACTTCACACTTTTCAGCTATTGTAGAGTACTTATATAATAGGGAAATACGTTATATAAAAAATGAAGTGATTGATAGATTTCTTCCTAGACTCTCTTATGATAACGAGAAAGTTGACTTTGTAGACGAAGGTAACGAAATACAATAAATGAACAATATTATTACAAACTTAATACAGCAGTTTAGAAATTAACTGAAATCTCTATATACCTTTCCATGTAATTTAAGTTATAAATATTTCCAATAAGACAGAATGACAATACAATTTCTGAAATTTATAATTTAAAAAAGTATGTTTAATATTTACATATATTTTTGAAAAGGCATCATAATTTATTCAATAATGTTTATACATTATACATACATTTCAATAATTTTCTTGTACAATTCACAAAATGCAGAATTAAACTTTATTATACTTCTTTGATTCTTTCTCCTGTGCCTTTTCTTTTGCTCTTTGATATAAAGATACAAGCTTACCTTCTTTAGCAAGCATTTTGAGCAATTCCATTATTAAAGGTAAATAATTATGCTTCCGTCTGATATTTTCGATTTGATATCTTTTAGATTTTCGAATTTCTTTCTCTATTAGCGTCTGTAAACGTTCCAATTCTGCTGGATCGCAAACATTGGCCTTTTGTCGTTCATACAGTACTTTTCTATCGGTTACTATAGCCATTAAATTAAAGTGTATTTCTCCTTCATTATATCTACAAATATGAATTATAGAATTTCCATATAAAGCAAATGAGCATAAAAATTAATTGTATAGAATATACTTACTTGTTTATTCTTTTTTGTATTATGGGTTTTGCTGCTTGAACCCATTGATCTCCAAGTGGACAAGGACCTAAATCCATTGGTCCATCTTTTAGTCCATCTAATTCATATAAGCGTCCATCAATAGGAATATAACTAACAAAGTGAAATACATCATCATCCTTAGATGCATGTTTGGAATCATATTCAAATAATGTTTGTCTGCAATGAATAATACTTATATTATATCATGTAAATGGTCCACATTTAACATAACTAATATATACACAGATTTCTGCATTAAAAGTACCTTGAAAAAGAATTATGTACTTCTCTTATTACATCAGAATTACTAAGAGCAAGCCCTCTCATATTTGCATCAAAACTTTGACAAAAATTTTTAAATTCTTCCAAATTTGGTCCCAATGATATATCAGAATGTTTACAATTCAATAGTACACTTAATATTGCTTGTGTTGCACATGCATTATTAATCACCTAAAAAAAGGATTTAACAGTTTTACTTTATAAACCACAAAATAACATAATATAAACTGTAGAAAATACCTGTTTTGCAAAAAATATTTTGTCCAGTCTATTATCTAAAACAATACTTCCTGAAGGTTCATCATCTTGCACCCATTTGAATAAAAATATCAAGCCATGTATAGGCCTAATGAATAACAAAATTATTATTAACAAATGTTAATATTTGTATAAAAATTATACAATTATTTACTTTGTAATCATTAAGTTTACACCATTAAAAATTCATACTTTTGTTTACTATTAGACAGATTTTCTAGAAACAATTGTTTCACGTTTCCACTTTAATAATTGAACGAATTATATTATAGCTTAAAATATTCGCTAACAATCTTGTACGAAATAAAAAACAAATTTGATCGATACTTTGAATACAATATCGAATAGGTTATGTCATACAAGTTGAGTACTTACTTCAAATTATCAAATTGGTCATCATCCAAACTCCATAATTCTTCCACTTGGGCACCTTGCACGCCTTTAACAAAAAGAAATTGTATTAAACACGCCCTAAATACATAATCTTATAAAGAAAAAAAATGCTACAATTGGTAAAGGTTCGAAGCAACTGTCAATAAACACAGATCTTTTATTAATATAACTATACATGAATTGTTTTTAAAACATGTGTATATACACAATCAAACTTTACCAAATTCTTTTATTAACTCCGTAAAAACACCAGGATCGCTTTCAATGAGACACCAATTGCCCGCTGAGTCCGCCATGTTTCATTTATTTTCCACACTTCAAAAAATAATACTCATTCGCTGTTTCTTGCAACCCATTTGTGGAACAATTTGGGATTACCTACAAAGCGAATTGTATTGAAATGCCACAACGTAACGAACGTTGTTTCTTTCATTTATATCCAAAACAATTTTACAAAAATTAAATTGAATTGCCATCATAATCCTATTTTGAAGCTTATTTAACCACATTTTATTGCGACTCAACAAAAGAAATTAAATAGTTAAGCAATATAAATTTGCATTCAGATAAATTTAACAGTTCAACATGAATATAAAGTACTATTACCATTAAAATTGCATTAAATAAAAATATTCACGATGGATTATTAAAATTGTTTTAGTTTTAATAATATTAAAAGTTTCCTTATAAAAATATTTATACAAAAATAGTTCCATTTTCCATTTTTTTATAATTTTTTATTACTCTACAGACAATATCTTATAATTAATAGTGGCTGATTAAATAATCGTAATAAAGGAGTGCATGTAGCGTCGTAAGCATAAAAGTTTTACACAAATTGCCAGCACAGCCTGATTTATTAAGTGGTTGGAATAATAAAACATGAAAAAGTTATATAATCCTTTCATAATCATCAATTAATATTATAACGCTAAAGTACAATTTACACTATGTACAAGCAATAAATTAATTAAATTTTCAAAATATATTAACTATCGTTGACATTGCTCATCAATTCACATTATTAATAAGTTGTTCAACAAATAGTATACATTAGATTTACAACAAATTTTAGAATATAGTTTATGCGAGTGAAGGTACAAGATAATGATATATATAGACATATGAGTTAAAATAATTTGAAATGAAAAATTTTCGACTACTGATAATGTGATAGAGAGAACTGGTTAAAAAAAATTATAAAAAAAGGGTATCAATAAGCCACACATATAAAGCCAAATGGACATACACCGGCGATACATTTGAACTATTTTTATTTTTATACTTTATAGATAAATCTTGTATTAAATTTTTAAATCCAATTTATTCATAAGTGATCGGAAGCAGTGATAGCATTTGACTCAAAATATTATTGAAATGCTCTTACTGAAATATTGTAATGTGTGTAATGAAAATCGCACAAATCTATGACTATATGCAGGTTGTATATATTAACATTTTTCGTTGAAGCACCTAATATTGCATTGTTTGATTTTGATATTAGTTATTATTTTCTGTTTGACATAATGACGACAGAATATCTTCATACCGTCGCATATTTGTTTCGAATGTTTCCAACTGTTTAGTAAGATCTCCCACTTGCTCTGCGAGTGTTCTTTCCTCCATAAAAGCTTGAAGTTGCGGTGCACTTTGACATTCACGATAAAATGTTCCCAAGTCGCTATTGGTGTTTGTTACAGCGAAAGGAGTTTTCTACAATTACAAAATTTGAGGAGTTTAGACAAATCAAACATTTCTAATACATTATAAAGATAGGAACGTTAATTACCAAATCTACCATAATAAAATCGTCGTTGGCACTGGTCATTGAGCAACTACTTCTTCTTGATCCATTTTGAGAGTTGCATTTCGATGTTGTGTTATCATTTGTAAGTCTTTCATTATTTCCATTGCTGCTATCTGTAGTGGTAATTGTTGTTGCAGTCTTTGTATTTGTAGTCTCAGCCACTGAGGCTGGGGGAGGTGAAGTTTGTCTAGGAGTTAGTAAAGAACTGAAAGGTACATCTGGTATAACAAAGTCCTCTTCATTAACAGTAACAGGCTTATTAACTACAAACGCTCCAACTTTGATAGTATCACTGAGCGATTTTGACGTTTCTTCGCTAAAACATAAATACAAGTTATGGATATATTTTTGATGCAAATTAAATCATAAAAAAATATCTGACCTAAGTAACTCACCTTTGTTGATATCTTGCATGACGAGGGCTTAAGTCAGAATGAAAATGATCACTTTTTAACATTATTGAATCACGACCAGTATGAGTAGGGGATATAGTCATTTTTGTTCTATATGATACTGATAAATGAATTGTCCCCACAGGTGTACACAACTGACCCACCCTAACATGTTTATAATTATCACCTATAAAAATAAAAATAAAGTAATCTTATTATTAGATGTAAAATTAAATTATCAAAATTATTACTATAAAACATCTAAAAAGAAATATATCAGATTCTGATGTAGAATTAGATAAATTTGTACCTAATGTATGTAGCTGTGGTTCTCCCATATAAATTCTATAACAAATAACATAGGAGTCTGGACCTTGTCTCCTACTTAATTTGTAAGCTGGAGTAATTCTTGACACAGATAATAACGATTTCAGTAAAATACCCATTCTGTTATATACTGTGTAGGTCACTCTTACAGTGGGATCACTATGTTCTGGTAAAACACCAAGGCTCCATGTTTCTAAAACCATTGTATCACCTTCAATGGTTCTTAATGAAATTTCAATGCAAAGAGGTATGGTTGAATTTACTATTTCTCCACATAGTGCCCTCTTAGCTTCAGCCAAAACCTCTGGTACATCATGAATAGCTAAGTTGAACTGTACAACGAAAGGATACATATGTAGAAAACTGTAAACATTTTGATTAAACCATTATAATTAATCTAAGCTTAATTATGTTTTTAATTAAATATCACAGTTCAATGGTAATCTATAATTTATATCACATGATCTTAAGTTTTCAGATGTTTTTATACATATTCGAAATGAAACCGAATAAAGTACAGTACAGTGAAGTACAAAGTATGCATTACATAGAGCATACATAAATTTTGTAAAAAAAATTTTAAAGAAGATAACAAGAAATATATAAATATCTACAACATATATATTTAAAGTTACCATAAATAGAGGAACTTACCCAATCTGTTCCAGATGAATTTGGCTTGCACTTTGTGCTGACCTTTTCACCTGACCTCGACTGCACTATAATTTGAGCAGCTTTCAATGCCAAAAATTTTGTGAACTTATCCAAGTCCTTTTTATCTTGCATGTTCAGTTTTAAGGTAGACATTTTAATGCTGTTATTTTTTATTAAATTCTTTTCAAAGAAACACAGATGTCCAATTAAAAACATCGGATTTCACTAAAATGAATAGAATTTTGAATATGCCAAAGCACCTCCTCCAGCTGTCTGTAAAACTACATGGTGAGATCGTTTTTTACACTCGCACGTGTAAACCATCGCACTTTAATTGGCAAACGATTCCTCTTCTTTCTATGATTTGCTAATACAGATATTCCAGCCAAAAAACAATAATTTAACAACAGCATGGACATCATATCGCTGCATTATGTTGCGTACAGTTGCGTGGCAAGTGATATATGCAGGGTCGATTCGATTTTATTAGTTAGAACCTAGTCTATCGTTGACCAAGTGTAGAAACTAATTCGAAAATATCATTCGAATTGACTGATCAACGTGAATATCGCTTTTCTCGAACAATACGTACAACTATCGAATATAGTTCTTATTTCACTATTTTTATGACACACTGTGGATCGATCGTGTTTCGTATCGCAATTACCTTAAGATAAGAAGCGTCCACATGAATAACATACAATCACCGATTCGCTGAGTCAGCGGTAAGTTTAATTCTTTATATATCGTTCACATTTATATACGAAACAAGGAAGATAGAAATGACGACAAACACTTCCTTGTTAAGAGTTCAAAGTTTGTGAATTTCGCACCGTAGAATCGAGTCGCGTTCGAAAAAGAACTGCCAACATTGTCGGTGTACTATTTTATATTTTACGTACATTTTATATTTTATGCACGATAAACGAGTGTAACAACACTATTAATATACGTGGTTTTATAAACCATAATAAAATGTCGAACAATCACTGCCTGATATCCTACTTGATCGTAGATTAATTTTGTGCGACAATCTTCATTTAGATTATTGTATCCTGTTGATGTTCTATCAACTGATTGGTTGGTCGCATAGTGCTAAACAGCTGATCAACCGAAGTATTATGTTCAAAGTGTGGTACTACTTGTATCTCTTTTTTATCTGCTAGGGAAATTTTTCTATTCCCCTATATTTTTCGAGCATTCTTATTGCTGCAAAAAGTTTAGTTATACTTCATTTTGTTGAAATTATTATAAAATATTTTATTTCATCTTTTCGTTGAGTGATTTACAAATTAAACTTCATCAGATAAATTATTGTTTAACTATTATA